CACACACACTATATATATATATTTTTTTTCTCTAACCCTGGAATGGGCAAAACGCCTTGTGTTTTGTTTTTTTTTTTTTGTAGTTTACTTGCTGCCAATTCATTTAATTTACAAAAATGTACACAACGAGAGGAAACACACATCCCATAGTCTGTTTGGAAGATGTGCTAAAGGGACAGTCTGACACCTCAGGCTTTTTGAAGCTATTTTGAAGCCACCCTGTTCATCCCAAAAATAGCTAAATGCTCTTCTTACCTTTGGGCATTGAGCCACAAATGATTGCTTCATAATAGCTGGGATATTTGGGTTTGGAAAAGTTTTCAGGAGATGTTATTGTTGTGATATCAACGATAACAAGTGTAAGACGAGTCTAAGAGTTACAGTATTTAAAAGTTAAGCGTAAGAAAGGCTCCAAGGATGTCTGTGAAACAAAGCTCATTTGAATAGAGGACCCAAATGTGACCTTAGCAAGGTACGGCTTGAAAATTTCCCACACAGCACAATTTTACTGTTAGTCTCAGTGAAAATATCCATTACAAATGTAAATTGCTCCTTTTATGCCTGCAAAACGGCTTTACATCCACTTAGTCTCTAGTCAGCAAAAGTGTTTTTCCCCCTCCTTTAGGTCCACTTTCTAATTTGGGAATTAATCGCACATTAATATTCATTTCTACTTGGGAAGTTCAAAGTCCTCCAAAAGTTATCATCAGCTGTACGTGCTTGTGTACGACGTACTTCTCAGAAGTTTTCTTTTTCGAAACACAAAACCTTCAGTGCTTCAGCGATACATTTCTAAATAAACTAAACTCCTTTCTAGGTCAACGCGCACCTATTACCAGAAGTATATTTTGCAGGGCATTTGTATTTTAACCAGCACAGCAATACTTGCGTCTTATTTAGAATGAGCACAGTTGTGTAGTGCTTAGCAGGTCTGTTTTAAAATCAAGAGGGTTTCAATTGAGTCAAACCCTCCTGTGTGGAATTTGCATGTTCACCCCATGCTTACGCCTTCAGTACTCCCAAAACATGCATGTCAGGTTCATTGAATTGTACAACGCGCTGAACATGGGTATGAATGGATGTTTATCTACACCAGGGGTGCCCAACCTTTTTTTGAACCAAGATCTACTTTTCAAGCAGCCAATAGATCAAATACATGACAGGGAGTGTTTGCGGAAATAACTGCTCTCCTTAGTCAGGGAGACCAGACATGGTGAAGCAGGGTCGCACTTTAAAATGCATAGCGCGTAAAGTGCAAGAACATCGCACTGTAGCTCACGTGTACCATTTGAAAAAATAATGTCACCCCAGATTCCCCCCCCTTTTTTTTTTGCGCCAATGCCATTGTTGCATTGCAGATCAAAGAAACAAGCTCCGAATGAGAATCTTCACAGCTTCTATCTCCTGACCATCAACAACTTCCTGTCATGTAGGTCACGCGCTACCGTAGGTTAGGTGACCTACTTTACATTTTGGCTTTGTGGACTTGAGACCGATAGGGTACGGAGGCTGTACTGTACACTAACAAAAAAAAAAAACAGTTTAAATATAACTTGAAAGGACAACAGGAAAATAAATAAGTGAGACATTAAGAATACAAGTTAAAATAAATAAATAAATACTGTATGTTCCGGCGCAATATTATCCCCCAAAATCCTAAACATTGAGATTTCATTTTAAGGTCAGATTGCTCGGCCTGAACGCAAAGTAATAAGTTTTCGAAAGAGCTAGAACAATTATCCACAGTCCCAATTAGGATCCATTATAGATGGTATTTTACAGAAAAATACTCGACAGGCTTTTTCCTCAAATTCTTCTCAAAGTGCACCACACACACACACGCACGCACGCGCACGCACGCACGCACGCACGCACGCACACACACACACACACACACACACACACACACACACAACCACACACAACCACACACGCACACACAATCAAGCAGGGAGAGGGGCTACTTTTGAGTCTCCTCAATTCCCTGGAGCAAGAAGTCAGTGTCTGGAATGAGGTGATAAGTGCACTGGGAAGCACGTACATACACATTTCCTGAGAAGAACAAATGGTTTGGGACCAGAAAAAAAATACTGCTGTACTTCTTCAACCAAACAGCATGAAATTAACTTTAAATACACACAGTTTTGTCCGGGGATTCATTCAAGATGTATTTACACAAAGAGCATTTTTTAAAATTATTATTAAACAATATGTTTGCAAGGTGACGGTGTTCATATTGCACAATATAACAGTTGGGGATTGCAGAGAAAGTCTAATCCCATTTTGCATGTATGTTGATATTTACAACAAAGGGTCTTCTGTATTCAGTTCTGATTCAAGACGCTTATCAGTTCTCTTTCAACATTTAGGCTCGCATTAGCTGACTCGAAGCAAGCTAATACGACTCATCGTGTAGGAACTGAAAGTGATGACGCAGCACTGTCGCAGCAACTCCATCTCAAGATGGCTACAAAGCCTGAATGCTAAGCCAAATTCAAAACTTGGTTACTCCCAAGGACCAGAACTTGCTAAAAGTTTAGCAAAAGCATTGCACCATTTTCTTTTATCTATGGACTTTTTCCGCAACACAATTGTTTACTCTAGCATGTGTCTTGTCCACCTGCCACTATTTTGTTTGATGCATTTTCAAAAGAAAAAATAAATAAATAAAATCAAATGGAGGGAGTGGAGCATGGAAGAAAAGATTTAGGGTAGTGTGTGTGTGTGTGTGCGTGCGTGCGTGCGTGCGTGTGTGTTGTTTGACTGACTAGTTTCTTCCTCTTGTCCTGCTCGGTCGGCGGCTCCTCATCGTCACTCAGCTTGGGCTCCTCAAAGTGGCTCATCAGCATGCAGCTGCAAACACAATAATATTCCACTTAATATTAATAACCATACATATACTTGCTCTGCAAGAGATCACTCCAGGACAAGCAGTATGCACATGCACACACACTTACAAAAATAAGGCTGCTTGCAAGTCATACTGTTTTATTAATAAGTGCAAAGGGAAAACAAAAGAAGGCTTCTGAGTCTTGAGTCCTTGTAACTTTATCATGACAAGATATATGGGCGTGCGGTCTATATATCTTGACCTCTATTTGTGTACTATTTTTGGTATATGAATGGTCTTAGCAAGGACTAGTGGATGGATGGCTGTTGGATATATGTGCTTCTTCTCACGCTGCATAACTATCAGCAATGTATATCGCACACTGATGTACCATATTTTCCACACTAAAAGGCGCACTGGATTACGAGGCGCACCTTCAATGAATGGCCTATTTTGTCATTTTTTTCATACATTGGGCGCACCGCATTATAAGCCACAATCTACAATGCATCCACTAGATGGAGCTACGCTCAAGGAAACGCCAACAGAACGATCAAATGTCAGTTTAATAGAGCAGCGACACAGTTCACTGAACCAACAGCAAGTTCTGACATTGACTCATTAACGTTGAACTCTCTTGCCGCTGCTCTAGTTCCGTGTTCAACTGCGAAACCGATTGCCTTAAGTTTGAACTGTGCGTTGTGAGCATGTCTTGAGCAAGGAGCCATTTTGGGGTCGACATATTACCGTAATGACCATACACAAGGCGCATCGCTGTGAGCTTTTAAGAAAATGGAAGGCTTTTAGGTGCGCCTTTTAGCGCGGAAAATACGGTAAACTGAAAAATAGTTGTATGCCGCCGTGGCGGAGGGTGGAGATCCATTGCATATGTTGGCGGAAGTGTGTGTGTGTCCGCGGGTGCGTGTGTGCGTGCGTGCAGCAGGCAAGCAGTAAGAAGAAATAGCTGGATCACTTGATGATAGAAACATTATCAGTACTTAAAGATGTTTATTCAGGACTGCAAGTGGAAATAGTGGATGTGTGTAACGCAAACAGGTGGTGACGAATTTGCCTTGTTTAATCAGAACAGTTAGGGGAGTCAAATAAGTGGGCAAGCAGACATTGATAGCTCAAATCAAGTCACTTATTCATGGCAAATTTGTGAGTTGTGCAAGTGGGTGATGGATGCAACTCCACCATACATATGGACAGTTTATTGCATGCTCGAAAGTATAAAATTCAAATATTTCACTTGGATGTGAAGCACGGAAAGCGAGCGAGTACAGCAGAGACATCAAAACTAACTTTTTGTGAAAGCTCGGAGTTTATTTTTCCCTGGCACATTGAGAGCGAGAAAAGAGCAACACTGACAGCAGGAAGAAGGGCGCCTCCACCAAGCTCATAAATTAGGCTGATGGTTCAGCGAGAAAGAGCACCGACATACTCGCAGGTGGATTTCACTTTCAAAGGACGATGGGATATTCCCTTTCCACGTCAAGCACGGGACATTTTCTCTTCAAATCGATTGACGGTGACAAAAATGCGTTCCCACCGTCGCCCTCCCTCAGCCCTTCACTCAGTATCCAGCACTAAAGGCACACTTTCAACCTTGCGCTTATCATGACAGTGGGAGAAATGCTGCTGCCAATCATGGATTAATGAAAAGAATGCGGGGATGGAAGTGGGTGTTCCGACACTGCATTTGCGGTGCATGCAAGGTTCTTCCATTCTTCAAACCTTTTATGGGGAAAAAATGCCTTAAATAGACTCACTAGACCTCATTTGAGCCAGCGACAAAGAATATGGAGAATTTATCATACTTGAAAGCAGTCAGACTGTGTCCTTTTTGCCCAATGGTGTTAGTAGTTGGAATTGATGGTAAGAGGAAAATAATGCACATTTGCTTGACGTTTTAAGGTGTGAATATAAAAAAAAAAAATAGTTTGTTTTTGTCAATTCATCAGACAGATAGAAATGCGTACTTACTCTTTGTAGGTGCTCGTCTCGGGATCTTCCGTCATCACGTCATGCAAACACTCGACGCAGATGTTGATAATGCCACAAAACTTGTCCTGGATCACACTGCATGACACAAAAACAACAGGGGGCACAAGTCATGGTCACTGACGGCACTAGAAATTTTTTGTATCCGATAAGAGTAATGAGCGCAACACTGCAACAAAGAGTCACAATCTGTTAAATCCAGCCATTGATTAAGTGGCTGTCCGAAAATAAATAAATAAACAAAACATGGCCACACAAAGAAAAGTTGATTGATTCCATCTGTCAATGCTCTCTCTCCAGCGTTTTTTTTTTTTTTTTTTTTTTTTTAGGAATCATCCTCCACACTTCCCTTCTGACATTTGAAATTAACCTTTCTATTTGCAACATACACACTTGAGACAGCAACTTAATACATCAAAGTTCACAGAGCTCAAAAAAGGCAAGGGCCAATGAAAAATTAATTAGCCCAAAACACCACCTAACCTTGGAAGGCTTGCAGTGACCGAATGCAGTAAAAAATGTCCATATGCTTGATGGAAAAAAAATCGGACATTTTCTTACTTCAAAACGAGTCCAAAAAACAAATAATGGGACTTAAAAAAAAAAAAAAAAAAAAAACCTGAAAATGGAGGGCCAGATAATTACCGCCAGCTACTGCTTTCCAATTAAAACTCACTTCACCACACAGTTAAGCATATCCGTCAATTGTGATTTTATCCACCGTCTCCTGTGATTACTTAACCGGTGCTGCTGGCGACTTGTGCTTTTAATTCAAGTCAGTGGGATTTGATCTGAAAGCCAACAAGCTGCAAGTAAAAGACAAACAGGACACTCGAGTCAATATTCTTTGTGGCCCAGCTACTTGCAGATTTCTTTTTGCTAAACTGCACTCACTGGGGAATACTGTTAAAGAGCACTGAAGTACTTGAAGCGATTACCAAAATCTTAGTACCGGTAAGTACAAAATAAATAAATAAATAAATGAATGAATGAATGAATGAATGAATGAATGAATGAATGATGCGATCTGGGCGGCTTGGTGTGGTGGCGTGTGACCTGGGCGTGAGCTGTGTGCACATTGTGTTTTGCAGTTCTCCCTTCACTCAATAAAAAGAGCATCGGTGACTGTGGCTCTCCTTTCTCACATATGAGGGCATTACGGGAAGCAAATGTAAACACCCATCTAAAAAAAAATAATGTGAAACGGCCTGGGCACAAAGAGTGAACTGTGCTATTGCAGTGGCAACAGGAGGGAAATTTCAGCCAAACTCCGGAAAACCAAAGAAAAAAAAAATCAGGGTGTCTCCAAGGAATAACCAGTTTCCAACTTTTCAGGACTTCAAAGTCTGGAGGTTCCTCTGTAATTAACTGATGTAACACCCACTCATCTATGCACTTTTTCAGACTCTCGGTTTAGCTGTGTTGACTTTTGTCTACTTGAGCCCCGGCGAGTATCATATTTCTGTGACGCCAAAACACTGATAATGAGCATTCAAGTAAGTGACCACAACACCGCAAATTCACAAAGGTGCATGATGAAGCAGAACAGAAAAAATAATTGACAATCTCGGCTACAGGCCACTAAGCAGCCGGGCACGTTAAAGCACATTTAGGGAAAAGGATGCCTTAACGAGACCCCCATCTGGTCTGCTTCGCATAACTAATTTGTAGTGCTTTAACACTGCCCTTATTTATCACTCTTTCTCTCTCAAATGAGCAGTACAATTACAAAGCAGAAGTTAGAAAAGTTTTCGAAAACTCCACTCAACTTTAGTTTGACAACTTTGTGTCGCTCTTAGAGAGAGGACAATTTGATGCATAATGCGAAATGAGGAACAAGATACAAACCCCTTCCAATTGAGCTGCGATTGTACGTGGGAAAGTTTTTTTGTCATGCAGTGACCGAAAAGCCAAGGCTGTCATATCCAATTGGAAATTGTTGAGAAAGCGTGGGGAAGCATGACAAAGGATTTCATGGCTGTATTATGGCAATATTACACAGTCAAGACTGTGGAAAATGTCCGTCGTCCAAAAGTCTTGACTAGAAAGTTCATCACTATGTGAAAAAAAAAAAAAATAAAGATCACCAGAAAATGAAACCTTAAAACCCACTTATTGAAGTTTCAAAAATGTGACATGGGAAATCTATTCACATGAACTTACATTCAGTATATTCTGGCAAATATGCGGTCATCTTTAAACTGAAAATGCACTGGAAAATGCTGCTGGGGGTTTGTTTTCTTTTGAAAGATATTCATCTCCTTTATTTGCTGTTAACTTGGAGAACTGCAAAAATTCATGCTGCAAATAAACTTCTTTTTGCTACTAAATACTTTTTGGCAGCAATACACTAATAATGCACTCCAAGAATGAATCTCAACCTTTTAAACATACACTGTTGTAGAAATTACATCTTAATGGACATATGAGAAGGATGGACATGGATAGAATTCAAAAGAGAAAAAAAATTCAAACATTTCGTGCGCAAATACATTTTGGTGGCAACAAACGAATAATGCACTGTAAGCATGAATAGAAAGCTGATGCTAGTATTAAGCTTTATGTGAAAAATTGCATCTGAATAGGCATGAAAAGGATACATAACGTAGCAAGAGCCGCATCGATACGTGAATGACTCAAAGGAGTTCAATCAATCAATCAGTGTCAATCTGGGACTGCTCCGATGTCAACCAGATGAGCACCTCTCCAACAAATAATTGCAATTTTACATTTTCCTCTGCAGAAGGACGCAAACAGATGCCCACCGATGCCAAAGTCCAAGTCCTTGGAGCCTGAGCTACTGCAGCTGCAGAATGTTTATTCCTTATTATAATTATTTTTTTTAACATATTGCTTGATTGAAGAAAAAAAATGCACCAGAAGACAAAAGCCTAAAGCCCCAGACAGAACTTAGCTCTTTCCCAACCTACAGAGATGTTAGTCTCTGAAGAGACGTAAAGTTTCAACATACGTCATACTTGACATGAGTCACTATTAGCAATCATTTTGAAAGAGTGCGTAGCCCTCGAATAGGTGAGTATTTCATTGACTAGCTGAGGACAAGTTTGATGGTTAAAAAAATGTGAATAGGTGAAGAATAGCGAGCCGCGAATATGAGGCTCACCGTATTCTGTACGTTAGCAGAAAAATGCATTCCTACCCCCTCAGACCATGCTAAGGGGCATCGAAAGGTGATGGATGCAACTCCCCCAAATGCCTGTGACAGTGACTGACAGATGCCTTACCTGTTGTCAGACGGCAAGAGCGAAAGCAGGGCCAGAGAGGACAGCTTCCTCCTTTCAGGCTGCGTGATGTTGTCCATGCGGTCCACCCACATTTCAATCACACTGCCTAACAACTGGTCAATCTGGTAGAGCAAAGGGATGGGAAGCCGTGTGTTAAAAGAAAGGAGCGGAAATTAACCGTCTTTGAGGGCGCCTGAATTCATCTTGTTGTTTATGAGAATTGACCTTCCCTATTTTCCCTGCCTCATTTAGCAGCCAGTGTAGACGAGGGGCGCTTGGCACCGGAGAGTGACAGCTGAGGGATTTTTCAAACAGCCTATTCTTTCCTTTTATCCATTAAGATTAAGACCCAACTATAAACAGTAGGTGATTCATTTCCCTTTAGTTGGGGCAAAAACAATTTCAAAGTTTCAGAATAAAAGGGGCTGGGGCTTTGACTCAGTGCCTGCAAATGGTACCATTTGCAATTCCATGGCTCATCACTTTGAGCCCAGTTTCTAAACGATTCACTTTTCACAGGCACTTTTGAGGCGTTGTCCTTAAAAGGCGTTGAAAGAGACTGCTGAGGAGACAGAAATGAAGGACAGGCACCGATTCTCACCTCCTGGCCACACTCGGAGGCCATCTGAGTGAGCAGCGATGAGAAGAAGCTGGAGTTCTGCAAAAGGATGCGGCCCATGATGCCCAAGTAGGTGGACATCACCACGGGGTATCGCTGTACAAAACAAAAGAGCTGAATCCATATGAGGAAAAGGCATGCGCGCACTTTCTATACTGTAAGTAATGGTTCATTTGGCACTGGGGGAGGTGCGGTCAGCCCACTGACACAGCAGCACTGTGGCCAGCTATATATAACGTTTAACTGTGCTAAACAATCAACAAATGCTAACATAAGATGACGAGATTGCGACCAAGAATAAGATTATTCATTAGGATTTTCAATACCAGTGAATTTAAAATCGGTAGATAAAACAGGCTGTATTACCACACGGGGTGTGGATTTACTCAAATGCGGACTGGGCGAGGAGACTACTTTGTGAAGGGCTTTATTTGTAACCACATGAATCGAATAATAAAGGGCCATTTACAATTTATATCAAGCGAGCGCGGTGGTGAGAACAAAATGAAAAGGTCTATTCTGGAGAAACGCAGAGGAAATAAAATCCAAGTAAAGTAGGTGGATGCACAAGACATTGCGGAGTAACCACAAATCAGAGTTTACATGAATTCAAACAAATTTATTTGATGTCTGCGTGTGAGAAATGTGCAAAAGTAAGAGAATTATATATTTTTTTGCATGAGTCACTCGGTGACTAATTGTGGCACAGCATCTATGAAAGGGACAGCCACCATTTGAGTCAAGTAGGTGTTTTACAACCATGTAGGAAGAGTAATTGCAGTCAAGCGGGACAACTCACCTCGCCGTTCACTAAACCTCTGAGGACAGCTGGCAGCAAGGGCTGGAACATGTGGGCGCCGAGTATGGGGCTCACCTTTAGAGCTATTTCTACCACCTCGCGAAAACACAGAGACGCGGAAGTTGAAGGACAAAGCAGCAAGGAGAATCACAGGAAGCCTGTTATGTAAAGATCTATTAAATAAATAAATAACAGAGAGAGAGATCTGACGATGGCAAAGATCACAAGGTGCCGGGGGGACATTGGGCGGGAAGCAAATGCCAGTCAGGAAAAAGCGTGAGGAAAATCTTCACTTTTAAATGGGGCTGTGACCACTTTGACAGGAAAGGTGAGTCCTTCAAGTTTTAAGATATTTCAGTGAGGTCCATGAGAAAGCTGGAATAAAAAAAATAAATAAATGCATTTAAAAAAAAAGAGGAACTGGCTCCAGTTAATTGGAGAAGACTCCCACTTCATGTTTATTTATAGTGTAGTATATTTGCAAAAAATAAATCAATAAATAAAAAGATATACCCCCTACTAAACCTGACTCATGTTTCAGTAAAAGTCATTGCTCTGTTGAATTTCCGGACTTACTCCTTCTCCCTCATTAGCCTTCGCACAATTAAACCTCCACAGAGGAATCATCAATGGCAATTCCCTGCGCACTGTGCAATTAATTAGCTCAAGTGTGAATGACCACAGGGAAAGGACAGATAAACACTGCCACTCAGCCTATGATATTATATGTTCATATGAACTTTTCAAAGAAATGCGTAGATTGTCGAAAAGGGCACTCGTGTGTGTCTTTGACTGCCAACTGTGTGGGCTGACGTTTTTCCTTGTGGCCAGAATAAAAGGAGCTGCATGGACATTAAGTATGCTCACTGCATACAAGGGACATGATGCTGCAATGTTAGTGAAGGATCAAGTATGTATTTGACTGCTGCTGCACAGAAAAGAAAACAGGAGGTTTGAATTTGTATGCAAGAACGCACCTTACGGTACTCCTAAAGTAGGACGAGACGACGCCTACCTTCAGAACTTGGACCTGTCCCTCGTTCGTGATGTCTTTTAGCAGCTCGCAGAAGGACTGACATAAGGATTCGGCATAGTTCTGCAATAATACAAAAATAATAATAATCATAAGAAATCACGGGAACATTGAGAAGCTGAAACGGCAAAGAACAAACTTAATTTATGATGACCGCTGCAAATACTGCACATTGTAGCATATCACAGCAGACAGGATGCCAATATGTCCCAGTGAATGGTAACAGGAGTTCAGAACATTTAGAGAAAGTCTCCTATCCCATAAAAATATTTCATTGTCTGAATCCAACAATAAGGAACACAACAATCCCCCACGTATTTGTGGTTCACGACTAAAAAAATCTATTACGCAAATTGCCGGGGAATTACTATCGTACGTTCACGAAGTCTTTCAACAACAAATTATGCTTCTGAACCTCCAAATGAATGTTGTGTATAGCTCACCTGGAGGAACTCCGTTGGAGACAAGTACAGGTAGGCATTGACAATTTGGAAGCACGTACGCAGGTTCTCCGAGCTCAACTCTGCACAAAAAAACAAAAACAAAAAACGTTACTGCACCACTTGTAAAGCTTTGATTGACAATGCCGACAGCGATGCAAAAGGCAGGGAAAAGGGCAAGGGCATTTGTGAGTAAATGAAGCAGCACACAAGAGCGTTTCATGTGTCAGGGAAAGCACGGCGCATGGACCTAAATCACACTCTGTGTTCGTCTTCGGAGGTTCCACTGTATCATCAAGCAGGAACATTTGCTCAGTCAGACGTATTTGGGGGTGTAATGAAAGCTCATTTAGACAATGCCCATGGTAGAAAAAGAGAAGAAGATAAACTCGAAAATCAGCTGGATGAGCTTTTCTAATTAGCCCTTTCAGGATATGCAGGATGTGAGCAATTGAACAACACAGCTTCGGGGCTTACGTGGCTCCAAAGGGATGGCTCATCTGCCAGCGTTAATGCAAAACATTAACAACGACTTGATTTTATTTACTAAGCACCTCTGACAACTTTATTTGGCAAGCGTAACTTATTTCATACTTGACCTCCAGTGTTTGCCTGACCTTCGCTGAAGCTTGTTGACATTCAAGCCCAGTGTTTGGGGAAATACAATCTCCATCTTTGATATCTGTTCATTTCATTTGTCCAGAAGAAAAAGGCTTCATGCACACAAAGAAACACATCTAATCTCAACTTCACCCATCCAGCCTCTGGAGCGTGTGCTCGCATTCTGGTTGCGAATGAGCTGAAGGCTATCCGAGCTGACTTTAGGCGAGAGGCGGGGCGCACCATCAACTGGTCACCAGCCAAGTACAGGGCACAATCCATTCATCTGGTTCAGTTTTTTTTTTTTGGTTCCTTGTTTCAATTTTTGTTTTAGCGTTTTGTTTTTGGTTCGATCTGTGCTCCATGTGCAGTGCATGAGGAAGTGCTGATTTCTCTGAGTACTATTGTGCGAATGTGTGTTGATTGATGCTTTTGGCACTTGTGTTTATATCACCCTAGTGTAAGAAAATGAGGAAAGTGTACAGGACACCAAAAATGTTCAACTTTTACAATTTACTGTCATGTCCACCTGTCTCTTCTTTCTTTTGTTATATTTAACAATTAAACCATGACATGTAATTTTCCTGATCGTGACACAGACTTGTCAGTGAAAACTATATGTATGATAAACTTTTTATTGGGACTTATACAGAAGTCTCAAGGTTCGAAATAAGAGCAATGAGGAAAAATAGGACGAAGTTAATGATGACTATGAAAATGAAACACCTTTTTAAACATAAATGTGATTAGTAGGTCTCTGTGATTATGGCTGTTAAATGTCCTGTGTCGGGTATTTGATGGAGACAATGGACAGAATGCTAACTAACATGCTTTCTGACCCAGGCGATAGGCCTGTCCAAGTCTGAGCTACAATTTGAGACCAGCTATTTTAAAATGGTACAGTGCACGGTGGGTTTCACAGGGCCACAAGGCTCACTGTCAGTCACATCAGTCACAGCTGGCATGAGCAATCTGCTGTTGACCCAAATCAGAAAAGATCCTGATCTGCTTCTTCCAGGCCAGCTGTGTGTGTGTGTGTGTGTGTGTGTGTGTGTGTGTGTGTGTGTGTGTGTGTGTGTGTGTGTGTGTGTGTTTTATGGGGCAAGACCGCAATGTGGCACATATGCTTCACTAACGAATGCTCAAGAGAGCTCTAAATCAGAAATAATGCTGTAATTTCCTCTCCTTTGTCCTGGTCAGAATAACAAGGATGGACTATCTCGGAAAAGGATACCTTTCATTTTCAGAGTGCCATACGTGTGACTAAACATCGGTGGAAGGAAACTGAGCTCTGATTGCTCCACTGTCTGGAGACGCATGTGCACGATTTTGGTTTGGTCCAGCCAAATTTACAAGTGGAGAGAAGGGGCAGAATTTAAATCAACAAGGTGCTTTTATGACTCGAACATGCCAGAGCCAATTTTCTCCCCTGGTAGCTCTAGACATAAAGCAGTCTGAAAGTGTGCAAATCTGCAATTCAAAGAGAAATTGATGGGGGGATAATTCTGTTGCCTTGATTATGAGCTGAGCCACTCACTCAACAACACACAATGCATTAAGCATTGGCAACAAGAAGATGGCCTGGAGAGTGGAGACTTTCAGCAAGACCAACAGTCTACTCTTGGCTTGAATAAGCAAGCAATCATTCCCTTTACCACCATTCACGTTAAAAAATAAAATAAATTTTTTAAAAGGATTAAAATGGGCATTTATGTTTTTCACAGGACAGCAACGATATGACAGTTTTCCTCAAAATATATTTCATGTCAAATATCGGGATACGTATTGCCTTGGAAGGGCAAGTATCGGGATACACGTTTCACGATATGCATCATATCGTGACCCCTGTATCCTGATACTACACTAACATTTGCACTGGCACGATCAACGTTTTCAATTGGGACTGATGGTCAGAAGGACTTGTTTAAGTTAATCGATTGGCCCCCAAAATCCAGACACAAAACACGAGAATGCAAGGAATAGAAATTGATCAAATCGGACGGACAAAATAGTACCTTGCAAGGAACGGTAGCTTGAGCCAGACACCTCAGCCAAAGAGCAACTCTATTTCCACCAAACCTGCTTAGCTTGAAAGTAAGCTGACAGGCTAGCCGACTCTTGCGTGTCGAATAATAATAGCTTAATATGAAGGAAGTGCACTAAGATGCACATCTGCAGGAAATAGAACACTTCAGAGGATCTGAAGGGACTCGGTAAGAGCCCGTTGCCTCGAGCCGATCAGACATAATAAACAGCATCTAATAAGTTTTGTTTTTGGGGCTTAGGTTGAATCGCTATGATAAACAGCATCTCATCTTTTCTTGAGTCTAGCCAGCCACAGTGAGGCAACAAAGATAATATATGCTGTCGTCTGAGCAGGTACACAGTGTATTCCTGAGGCTTTTTAGTCAGCATATGCCGCCACATGAATATTCACCTCAACAAGACACATTTAGCAGTAATGGATTACAGAACACAAACAGAGAGCATCCATTTCAAATAGACGCCAAAAAACACATGCGGAAATGAGAGCCAACTTTGAAAAGGAATTCTTCATTCAAAGAGGTAGTGAACAAGAGTGGAACTGACGCCTCACAACAACAACAACAACAAATGCCTGACCACGAGAGGCCATTCGTTTTGATCAGGAACAAGGCAAAGGTAGGGGGGGGGAAAAAAAAAAAACAAAACAAAACGCAGAGTAAATGAATGCCCAACAACAGGTAAAGTACAGTATGCGGTCACCATCCAATGAAACTCATCGATCTCCATTTTGCACATTATCCTGCATGTCTTCTTAAATGTTTGCAAGCTCATCAACCAACAAAATAAAAATAAATGTTCCACCAAGTTCATAAATACCTCGTTCGACTTAAAAAATGTCCTTCAAATCCAACTTCGTTACCCCACAACTCCCCCAGTCACTTTCCATTAAAGACGACTGAAATCTCCCAAGACATTCTTACTTTTTTGTTTAAAAAAAAAAAAAAACAAGTACGGACAACCTTGGCTAATGAACAGAATGTTCTAAGTAAAAGGGTACATTTCTGGCAAAACGCTTCGGACTGATGTGTGCAGGTCAAAAATCGGGTGACTAAATTCATCATTAATTTATTTTATGCCTCCTTTTAGAAGACGTGAGTTTTGCAGAGATGTTTTTACCTCTACAAGAGGAGAGGAACATCAACCGCAAGTATCTGAATGTCACAGGAAGCCATTATTTACCCCTCATCATTAAAACACGGACACTTCATCCCTTTCATGTCGACAATTAAAGCTGGGGATTTTCAACGGTTTTCCCACCAACATTGAGTGGCATGGGAAGAACGTGCCTAACCACACACGCAACTTTGCCCACTTTGGGAATAAATTCCAAGGCGGGATGGCGGCCGTCTGAAAGGGAATGGAAGACAGCCGGAACAGTGGTATGCTGTTGTTTCAATAATTACATCTTCATTTGCATTCTGAACTTATTCACAATAGCCCCGCTGCTTTCAAAGAGGAACTTTTGGCCTTCACCCCCTTGTGTGAGCAGTGCCACGATGAGAAGCCAGCTGAAAAGGAATGAACAAAGCACAATGCTGTTGACACACCTGCAATGCAGACGGAATGAGCTAGGAAAGTCCGTAAACACAGCAAGCAGGGTTACAATATTGCGGCTACCAGTCAAGGATGCATTTTCTTCCCTATTGCAAATGTATTGGACAATTCCATGGATTTTTAAATCTACTTTCTTCTGTAACCAAGCACATGACTGCCTCAGTTTTAGCCAAGAAAAACTCTGGACACCGTACAGATAAGCTTTCAATATAATTGTAAAACGCAATGTTCGATTGCGCTGATCCTCCTTTGTGTCATAGGTGAGCCAATGCCTATTTTAGCTGACTTTGGGAGAAGCAGGGTACACACTGAACTGGTCAACAGCCATTGAGAGAATTTACCACTAGCAGTAAATATATCTTACAATTTAAAAAGTTAAAAAACTACAAACATGTTCCTTTAGTGTTTGGTGATATTCAGAGCCACAAGAACACATTCAACTCCTGGGCAAAAAAAAAAAAAAAAATATTGAATCACCAGTCTTTTTTCAAAACGATAATGCATCGGGCCAAACAGCGAAAACAATGTTTATGCAACCTCGGGTGCAAACAATGGGAGGGTAAAAGTGAGAAGAATTGGATTCTTGCAGCTTTGAATCAAACATAATTAGCATTTAATTTCACGTCTTCCACTCGTTAAGCATTGGCTTTTAACTGGCTGGGTATTGGGCAAAGAGCTGCATTGTATTTTTGTGTGATGAAATTTGCTGTGTGCAGTCTACGGCAAGTCAAACAAAAAAATATTTATATATGTGTATACACACATCTCAGAAATCGTGTTTGGCTCAGCTTCTCTCTCTCTCTCTCTCTCTCTCTCTCTGTCTTTCTCTCTCTCTCAGGAAGCGGAAAGAGGGCCGATTGTGTCTAGACGGCAGGCAAAATGA